AGACGATGAGGGGGAGGAGGAAGAGAGGGAGGGGAAGGGGGAAGGAGGACGAGGAGAAGGATCGATTATGCTCCTCCAGATACAGGGTCCGTGACGCGAATCGGCGAGACTACGCGGCAGCACTGGGGCCACCTGGCTGCACAATGCTCACAAGTCTCCGCGGCCGGGCACGCCTGGCAACGTGGGGGGTCGCTGAAGAGACGTGGCCGGGCCGGCAGCACAGAACGAAGCATCATAACCTGCGTCTGGCAGCGAGTGTGCCAGCCGGACTTCCCGGGACAGCCCCTTGCGTACCACCTCGGTCATGTCCTCGTTGGATCGGCGATCGAACTTCTGCCGTGGAGGAGCCACGGACGACATAGACATAAGTTCTCGCAGGTCCGCCCGGATTTCTGGACGCCGATCCAACACACCCACCCGGAGCTCCAGAAGTTAATGCTTATGCAATTTTTTCTCGTTCGACTGCCTCCTCCCTCCCTCCTTGCCCCCCTTCCGTAGCCATTTTGGCTCAAGGCTTGGGTGCCGTACCAGGTACGGCGACCTCTCATGGGCGGCAGCCACGCGCGCTGGCCCGCGCCCCAGTCCCGCGCGATCCGCGCCTGGGCGGCCCGCGGCTGGCCGCGCACGCTCTCGCAGCCCTCCGCCTGGCCCGCTTGCTGGGCCCGCTGGCGTTGGACCTCCCAGGCGCGGGCGCGCCGAGCCCGCGTGGCATCGGCGAGCGCGCCTGAGACGTGCACAGTCGCGCACGCTGCTGCGGGTCGCGGCCGCCGCGCGCCTCCTTGCTGCACACCACAGTACCATGGGCAAGGGAGGCAGCGGCAAGGGCCGCACGGGCGCGACGGGCGGCACCGCCCCCCCGCCGTGGCAGGGCGCGCCGCCGCCCCCGCCGCCAGGCTGGTGGTGCGACGACTGTGGTGGCTTCAACGGCCCACAGGAAAGGCTATGCAGGTGCTGCTACCCAGGCCCTTCGGGCCCAGTCGGAGGAGGCGGGCATGGAGGCCCACCGCAGCAGCGGCAGCAGCAGCAGCAGCAGCAGCAGCAGCAGCAGCAAGAGCATCATCCCCGCCGACGGAGCTCGACATCACCAGGGACGCCAACCCGCCGACGCTCCGTCTCCCGCCGCCGCAGACGTGAGCGCGTGAGGCGAGAGGAGCGTCCGCGGTCGGGCTCGCGTGTACGCTTCGCGGATGAGCCCGAGCCCGACCCCGACGGCAATGGCGTCTCGGATGCCGACGAGGAGATGCGCAGCCCAGCGCTCGGGATCCTCCCCGCGCTGCCGCAGGATGCGAAGCAGCACCCAGCGTGGGTTGACCCTCCCAGCGACGAGCGCGCCTTGGCGGCGCACAGGCGGGCATTACGGCATATTGCAGCTGCGACAGGGAAGCGCCTTCAAGCTTCCATCGACCTCGGGGCATCCGAGGAGATCATCACAAGCCAGAAGCTGGAGTACAGCGTCCAGCTATGCATGATCATCACGGCCCGTGCGCCAGGTGAGCGCTGTGACCGCCAACGAGCCTACGTCGCCAAGGCCCTTGGCAAGCTCGAGCGTGCCCGTGAGGCGGTCGACAAGGCGCAGGAACGACTACAGGAGGCCGAGTCGAAGTGCACGCAGCGCGAGATGGAGCATGACAGGGCCAAGATGCTGCTGGACCAGCTCGAGGCGATGCAGGCAGGCCATGCGGCTGGAGGTGCAACTGGCGACGTGGACATGGGCGCGTACGTGCAGGGCACGCGGACGCCAGAGGCTGGAGGCGCGACGCCTCAGACGCCTCAGGGCATGCCTGTGCAGCTGGCGGCCATCGCGGAGCTCCAGAGCGGCCAGGCGACGCTCACGGCCCAGCTCAGCAGCCTCACGGCAATGCTGACGACGCTGCAGACGGCGATGGCGGCAGCGAGGACCCCAGCAGCTGCCGCCGAGGTCCCAGTCCCACCTGAAGGTGGCGGCCCGCAGGTCAGGCCCTTCGCCGGCCAGCCCCAGCGACTGGGCCGCATGCCGACGGCCGAGGAGCTCGCTGCTGCCGCACCCGCCTCCGAGGCCGCGGTAGCGAGCCCAGTCGACGGAGCAGCTGACCCTGCAGCTACCGCCGGCCCGCACCGCCCGTGCCCGCGGCAGCTGACGGTGCACCAGCGGAGCCTGCAGAGGCCGACGGCGAGGACCTCGCAGCGGTGCGTGCTCGTGCCGCCACGGCACGCCGCGCCAAGCGCGAGCAGGAGCGTGCAAGGCGCCCGCCGGGCCAGCCGCTGCTCGTGGACGCCATAGCCAGGCAGCAGCAAATGGGCGGGCATCGAGGCCGTGGCAGCATCCCGGCCCCAGCTGGACGTGCAGACATCGCAGCGGAGTTCGGCGACCATGAGACGGAGGCGGCGGCGAGGCGGACGCGGCACAGCCGCGACCGCAGCCCCCGCAGGCCCGACGGCTTCGAGATGGTCGGCGGCGCTGGTGCGGAGTCGACAGGAGAGTCGACACTGGGGTGATGCAGCAGGGCAGGCGAGCTGCCGGGAGTGAGATGCCTGAGCCCATCTCATAGCTCGCCTGTGGCTGCCAGCGCAGCCGACTTAGTGTCAGAACCTCTCGATCAGATGGAGTCCGATTCGCCTCCCCCCTCGCTCCAAGCCGCCTTCGCCCTCCCCCCTCTGCCTACTCCAGTCCAGCTCACGGATCCAGCATGCTGAAGTCAGAGATAGACGCAAGGCGTGCCTTGCCGCATGCATAGCTCCATGGACGTTGCAGCCAAATCTCGGCAGCAGCGTCTCGGACTAAGTAGAAGGATGGGTGGAGGTTAGTCGGAGGGTCAGGTGGGTTCACGATTACTCTCTCGCCGCCAGCCGCCCTTTCTCCTGCCACACTGTTGTCTGCAAACATGAAGTTATATACGTGTGGTGTTGAACCTACCGCCAGATATGCCAAGTATGTCAGAGGCGGCTGATGTCAAGCATGCCTCCATAGCTGGTACTAGGGATGTAGCAGGTACAGCGGATTCAGGTCCAGGCCCCTGGAATGTTTCACGGAACTCTCTACTCATATTGTGGGAACCATATTGGGAGTTTCGATAGGGCGCTGAAGCTTCTATGCTGCTTACCACGGTCGTGTCCTGCCGCACGCGCATTTGTATGGACGACGCAGCCAAATCTTGGCAGCGGCATCTTTCCCCAGTAGAAGGTTGGAGGGAGTTTCGGGTTCAGGATGGGTGTAGTTTGTGGAGGGGAGGGGTTACGAGCGAGGAAGCGACCCGCTCCTTTTTATCGCTCTCTCGCTCTCTCTCCGCCAGCCGCCCCGCCCCTCGCCGCTCCGCACATCATTGTATCCACCCCGCCCGCCCCTCGTGCTGAATGATCAGTCAGACAGCTACGACGTGCCTGGGTGCGTGTCAGGTCCAGGTGGCCATGGTAATCAGGCAGCCAGGGCCTACGGGGCAGCTCCGTATCCCCCCCACCCGCCCGAGAGGTACAGCGGGCGGCTCGCCAGCCTGCTAGCGAGCATGCCCTATCTTTCTTGTTGCATGTTACCAGCCTCTCTTTCTCTTCGTAGGGATGGATGCCAGGCGGGCCAGTCGGGTCGTGGGGCAGGATCGGACAGTCAGCGTGCGCACTCTCTTGCACACAAGTCAGCGCCATTTTGGCAGCTTATCTCTATTTGTTTTCTTGGGCAAGGAGCAAGCGACACAAAGCCGACAGGACCACCGTCCCCTCTGCGAAGTCTGCCGCCTTGCCCGTCCCAGTCCCCAGTCCTGACACATACCACGATTTCAGTCGCTGCCAAGCGAGCCTGTTCGCCTTTCGCCCTCTCGCACGGGTCGAGCCACACGGCTGTCAGCGAACGCTACACTTCTGCGTTTCTTAGACCGCGGTGCGTCTCGTGCATATGGGATTGGAGTGGTGGGCGGGATTGCATGTCGGAGGTGGGATCGGGATGGAGGAGTTTCTCGGCGCGGCCCGTACACTCTCGCGAGCAATGCTCGATTGCAGAGCCGGTGTGTCATGCAAAGGAGGAGCGGCGAGCGAGAAAGAAGAGGGATTAGGGCTCAGGTCTGCGTTCCAGCCTTACCTACTCCTCGTCTTCCTCTTTAGCACTTTTCCTCCTCCTCCTGCACCTACTCCACAGTGCCCAGGCCATTGATGCAAGCCCCTTTAGCGTTTGCCGGCCAAGCTGAATATTGTTGAGGGTGGGGGTTCAGGATGGATCGTAGGAGTGAAGATTCCTCCTGCGAGTGCCGTGCGATGGATCTTCCTCCTCGGCCGACGGCCGCCTGACGGCCACCTGTATCGGCATAGAGGTCCACATGGTGTTCCCAATGCGGTACCGCCATGCATCATAGATGCCAAGCTGAGTAGCTGAGTCCTTGCCATTCGTCGGCAATCTCGAGCAGGGAATGTGGTCTGCGTCCCAGCCTTCCTCCTTCCCGCTTTACGTAATTCTTTCCTTCCCTCCCTCTGCCCCTCCACCCGAATGCCCTGGACGGGCACAGCAGGCCGCTGTCGCAGCTTTCGCGTTTGCCGCCCAGTTGCCCAGCTGAAGGGTGGGGGATTGCGTGGTGGTGGGAGGTATAAGGAGAGGTGGGTTTGGTGTACTGGTACTGTATACTGCAATCCTTAGGTGCCCGTGCGATCTCACTATTTCAGTTTGCATCGCTAGCCGCAGCGCCACCATAACTCGACAGGCTAGTTGCCTCAACGAGCAGGCAATCCAAAAATCCTTGCCCCCCGCCTCCTCCTCCCTCAGAGCACGGCCTCCGAAAGCCTCGTCCCCTTCCCGTGCAGAGTTTTTCCCCCGTCCTTCCCCCTTGGCTTTCGGGTCATAGATCGGCTCTCCTGCGGCCTGTCGCGCCGATCCGGGCACCCCCAGAACGCCCTCGACGAGTCGCAGCTGCTGCAGAGCACCCCGCGGCTGGAAACCATCCGAAAACCTACGAAAACGCGTGAAAACCTCGAACCTCGAACCGCCGGGCACCTCCTCCGCTCTCCTGGCTGCCCCCTTCTCCCGCGAAGGGGGGGGAGCTCGCCTGGGCATCCCTGTCGGCGCTGCTCCGCTTGGCCTCCGCAAGCTCACCGCGGGCGGCGTTGACCTCACGTTGCCGGAGGCAGGGCGTATCTGGAACGGCCGCACCCGCAGAGCCCTTGCCGCCTTCTCGAAGGCTGAGGATCCTCCAGGAGGAGGGGAGGCCTGCTCCTCCTCCTTCTTCCTTCCTCCATCCTCCGTGTTCCTTCCTCCATCCTCCTCCTCCTCCTCCTTTTTCGTCTTCTTCCTCCTGCTCCTCCTGCTGCTCCTCCTCCTCCTCCTCCTCCTCCTCCTCCTCCTCCCCCTCCTCCTCCCCCTCCTCCTCCTCGTGTTTTTCCTCCTCCTCCTCCTCCTCCTCCTCCTCCTCCTCCTCCTCCTCCTCCTCCTCCTCCTCCCTTTTCCATCCTGCTCCTCGCCCCCTATCACCCTCTCGCGCACGTAGCTGGCGAACCACATCTGGTGGCGCGGTAACTGCAAGGTGCTCCACCTCCAATTGCCCAGTTCGGCCAGCGGCCATGATGATGCTCAGGGCTCGCGGCCTCCTGCGGCGCAAGCAAGAAATCACCCAGGGGCCCCGTTCCAGAAGCCACCTGGCGGTCCGTCGGGTGGCTCGCCCTGCAGAGCACTGGTCTGCTAGGTTCCTTCCTTCCTGCAATCATTTCTGGTAGGTTGGGTTGGCGACCTCTGATGGGTCTAGTCGCTGTGCTGCGTACTTAGTGTCGGATGCCGCTGCGTAGCTCTGGGTCATTACGACTGGTAGATGGCCCTCGTCTTCTTGTGCAGCGCTGATGTTGCCACCAATCGTTGCGATGTTGGTCACAGTGTCCATGCTGTTTGTGGGGATGACGATGTAGTCGATGCGTTCCTCGTTGTTGCCCTCGTTGTGCGTATATGCACGCCCCCAACAGTCCATTGCTGTAATGACTGCCGCGATGTGGTCGGGAACTTGTGGAACCTCGTGCCCGGCTCGTTATGCTCGGATCTCTCGCCGTAGTCGCCGATCGAGTCTGAGACGTGGTCCCCCGTCGTAGCGCTGGCGTCGAGCATGACGAGGTCAATGCTAAACTCGTGGGTCTTGTTGCTCAGGTCTGTCCAGAACTGGCCAGTCTTCTCGTCTCCTGGGTGCCCGTGGGTTGCATGTGCGACTGCGACCGTCCTCCGCAGACCTGGTGCTGTGATACGAATCGCCAGGAGTCTCGGGCTCTGGTGACGGACTTTGACACGGTTGTGGCCGATGTGACTCTCGTTGCCGTTCTTCTCTGCGCGCGGGAGGTCAGTGTTCGCGAGTAGCGAGCGCCCTGGGTTGTAGTTGTCGCCGCCGTTGGAGATCACATACAAACATTGCATTATGGTAGCACCTCTCGGTAATATACTCTTCTGCATGCCGACGAAACGGATGCCCATGTTCTTCGATCCCGACTCTCGTCGCGGTCTCGATCTCGGCTCTCTTCCTTTGCTGGTCTCTTCCTGCGTGGGTCCTTTCCTTGAAGCTTCGGACGTTGAAAGCCAGGGTGGTCAGGGCGACGGCTTCTTCCTTGCTTAACTGCTCCTGTCATTGTTCAAAGTGCCCCAATACTGCGGTGGCCGCATGTAACCCAACACCCAAGACGTGATCGGAGTAGACGGGGTATGCTTTTCGTGTGTCGCCGTCTGCTTGTCGTAGCATCGAGTACCCCTTCTGGTCATGGCTTTGGTTCGTCTCGCGCGCTTCGCATCTTGACGATGGACTTCGCCAGCTCGTTCCATGAGTGGCCTCCGCGCGCGTACTCGTGGTCGGCATGGAGGTTAGCGGTTGTGGATGCTAGCTGGTATAACTGGTTGGCCAGGGCGACGAGGTCGCAGATGCTGCGCGGTGCGTAGCTGCCCTTTGCCAGCGACTCTTGTGTCTGCGTGGGCCGTCGTCAGCGGTTTGCTGCAAGCTGGCGCTGGGCTGTGGATCCCATCGTAGGTCCAGATGAAGGCCGTGAGCTCCGACGTAGCCGTCGTGGCCATGTCTTCGTTAGTCGAAGTAGACCCCGCAGACCCCGCCTGTCATGGCCCCGACATAAGCGATGATATCTTCGTCCTCGATACGGACCACCACCGCTCGAGTCTTTGGTCGAGTCGCCCTGGAGAGCGCCGTCGGCGCGCGCGCGTATCCACTCGATCGCGTCATGCGCTCTGGCGGGGGCAAGATCCAGAGCCGTGGCGGCTGCTGGGTGGGGCCTTTTCTGGCCTGGCGCGCGAGGGTCACTGAAGTCGGGCAAAAAGGTGCGCGCGGGGGGGGGGGCAGGCGCCCGGCGATCAGATCTGCCACTTCAGAACTGGATAGATTCACATCTCTCGCCAGACGTCTCCCGGCGCGGCCACTCGGCGCGTTTACCCCTCGCGGGGAGCAGGGCGCAGCATCGTTTGACCATCGTCGCTGGTGGACACGCAGGTTGGTGACCTCCGTTGGTGGTCCCTCAGCACGGGGGCGCGGTGCGTTTCTTCCGCCGCTGCGGTTGCCTTCTGCGGCGGCCGTCAGCGGGCGCTCGCGTGGTCGTCGAGGTCGGAGCAGGGATCCCACAGCCTCCTCAGACTCATACCCGCTAGGTCGCAGTCGCGCCCTATCCGTCGCCCTTGCTGGAGTCGCGGTGCTCTGCGGCGCCGTCAAAATTGTTTCTGGCAGGCGTTCGCTGCGAAGCCCGTCTTCCCACTGCCCCGAAAGTTGGGGCTGCCTGGCTTTCCGCGCCGCCTGAACTGCGCCATGGCAGGCCCCCGTGGTCGGTCAGGGTCCGGTTACGTCCTCAGCATGGCTGAGGTTGAGGTCGCCCCGTCGCGGCGGGCCATGCCGGTCTGGGTCGCGCATGCAATGGTGCTCCAGACTCACCGTGTGCGGTGTGGCCTATAGCTGGTCGGACGCCGCTTCGGAACCGTCTGTAGGTTTCCACGTCGTCGCCGGCTGCGTCGGCTGCGTCGCCACTTGTAGCCAGGTCGGTAGGCTCGTATGCGTCGGTTGTTAGCGGTGTGATCTGGCGGGCCTCGCCAGGGTCGGTCGTCGGCCCCCTCGTCCGTCGCGCACTTTAGCTCCTTGCTGTCGGCGCAAGGTGCCCCCGCGCGGGTGGCACAGACGATGCTCTCCCTGGCGTGCCGACGAATCTTCGTGAGAGCTGATGATTTGCGGTGCCATCTCCTCCGCTGCAATGATGCCGTCATCTTGTTTGCCGTCGGAAACGCGGCATCAATGCTGATGCTGATGATCTGTGGGAAAAATTGACCAGGTAGCATGGGCCCTGGGGACCATGCGATCGGGGTTGGGGAATCCTGTTCGCCGTCGGACTGTTGCACCGCAGGTGGCGCGATCAGAACTCGCGAGTGTCTCGCCGGCGTCGACGCGCGGAACGGCCCTAGTTATCGTATTTCAGGTTGCGGCACGAGAGCTCCATCATATCGGTTTCCCTGGCCATCTGGTCGCTTCGGGTCTGGGTAGGCTGCGTTCAACCTCCTTCCACGGCACTTTGCGCGAAGGGCGATGTCTGCGGCAGATCCTGCTGCGACTTGTCGTCGTCGATGAGGATGCTCGCGCCGAGGGCCTGCTCGATGACATCGGCTATTTCCACGTTGGTGAGGCACACTCTCGCGGTTGCTGCGCCGCGACAGGCTTGGCGGCGCTCCTCAGCCACCTCCTCCGCGCGCCAGGTCGTTGATCACCCCCGTGCTCCTCCACTCGGTCTCATTCGAGCGATGACAACAAGCTCCGCAGCGGCGCCTTCTTTGACGCCCAGGCGGCTGGCTTCTCGGGGGCGGAGCTGGAGCGGCCCGGACTGCTGCCACCGCGGGCGCCGGGCGAGGGGCCGAGCACGGAGGAGCTGCACGGCGACGGCCTGGACAACGACGGGCGCCGCCCGGCGGACGTTTACGTCCCCCGGTGGCGCGGCGGGCTCCCGGCCGCCATGGACTTCGCGGTCACGTCAGGCCTGCGCGCCGACCTCCTGGCGCAGTCCGCTGCGGACCCAGGCGCTGCCAACACCGGGTACGAAGAACAGAAGAGGCAGCACCAGGGCACGGCACAGGCCTGCCGGGACGCCGACGTCGTCTTCATCCCGATGGTGGTGGAGGCGCACGGCGGGAGCTGGGGCGGCGAGGCGAGGCGCGCCTTCGCCGCGCTGGCCAAGCGCGTGGCCGACGCGCGCGGGGAGGAGGCCGCCGGCGTAGCGGACAGGATGGCCCAGCGACGCTCCGTCTCCCTCCACAGGGAGAACGCGCGGGCCATTCTGGCGCGGTTGCAGCAGCAGCGGCCCGGGGCGACCGCGGCCCGCCTAGCTGCGGCGGTGGCGGCGCAGGCGGCGGCGGCGGCGGCGGCCGTCGCGCGAGGCGCCGAGGAGGGCGACGAGGCGAAGGAGGAAGAGAGGACGAGGACGAGGACGAGACCACGAGGAGGTGACTGAGGAGCGCCGAGGGAGCCCAGAGGAGGCAGGAAGAGGAGGAGGAGGAGGAGGAGGAGGAGGAGGAGGAGGGGGAGGGGGAGGAGGAGGAGGAGGAGGAGGAGGAGGAGGCGGAGGAGAGCGAGGCGAGAAGTGAGGAGGACGGCGGCGAGGAGAGGCGCGGCAAGGATGCGACTGGCCGTGCTACGGGAACGCGGCCGCGAGGCCGGGGGACGGCGGTGCCCCCAGTCGCCGGGGGTGTCCCCGAGGCGGCGGCCCAGAGGAGGGGACCAGAGGAGGCGGAGGAGCGCGAGGCAGGCCCGAGGGCGAGGGAGAGGAGGGCGAGGAGGCGGAGGAGGTGGAGCAGGAGGGCGGGGAGGAAGGGGAGGGGGCGGCACAGGAGGGCGAGGGCGCGGAGGAGGCAGAGGCCGGCGCAGGAGGAGGCCCAGGACACAGGACGAGGACAGAGACGAGGACCCAACGAGGGGAGACGCCGTCTGCGACGAGCAGCGCGCGGCCACCAGCACCGTCGCCAAGAACGTGCTGCAGCGCACGAACTTCTGCACAGGCTCCAAATTTGCCCAGTGGGCCGACCCGAAAGTCTTGGCGGGTGGCGCCTCCTGCCGCTGTTACGAAGAGAACCAGTGCGAGATGATTCGGGCACCAGCCAGCTTGGACTACC